AAATAAAGATTTTTTTTGGAACACAGCCATATCCCCTCCTTTATGCTGTTTATATTTGTAATGTTGTTACAATGTAGCTGTTTTTATATCACAGAACTGAGTAGTGGTGACACAGACCATATGACCTACAAAGCCTAAAATTTATACTGTCTTGTCCTTTACAGAAAAAGTTTAGTTTTTTAAAATTGAACCCTGGTTTGGTGTAAAAGGCAGGCTACAGAATCACCCTATTTGCATAATCACCCTGTACACATAAATTGAGGAGGAAAATACACTAAAATGGGCATTGTCTCTGGGTGCTAAAATTACATGCGATTATTTGAATTTTTTCACCAAACATGTTAAACATAAAGGTATAAACATATTAATCACATTAGGAAAATAAAATAGTAAGCATTTATTCTATTTTAGTATAGGCCCAATCATTTTAGTTGCTGATGTGCTTTGTTTCACCTGGTCCTTTTTCCATCCCCATGTGTGGGGACCCTTGTACCTTTGTTACACAAATGAGGAAAGGAAGACCCAGGGAGTTCAAGTAACTTGTCCAAGGTTACACTGCTAGTTAGAAACACATTGTATGTGGTACTTCTTTTCACTACATCTGTATTGTGCACCCCAATGTTCATAGCAGCAATGTCCATGATAGCCATACTGTGGAAGGAGCCGAGATGCCCTTCAACAGATGAATGGATAAAGAAGATGTGGTCCATATATACAATGGAATATTATGCAGCCATCAGAAAGGATGAATATCCAACATTTGCATCAACATGGATGGAACCGGAGGAGATTATGCTGAGTGAAATAAGTCAAGCAGAGAAAGATAATTATCAGATGGTTTCACTTATTTGTGGAACATAAGGAATAGCATAGAGGACATTAAGAGAAGGAAGGGAAAAATGAAGGGATGGGGAAATCAGAGGGGGAGATAAACCATGAGAGACCATGGACTCCAGGAAACAATCTGAGGGTTTTAGAGGGGAGAGGGATGGGGGGATGGGTTAGTCTGATGATGGGTATTAAGGAGGGCATGCATTGCATGGAGCACTGGTTTTGATACACAAACAATGAATAATAGAACACTACATCAAAAACGAATGATGTAGGGCACCTGGGTGGCTCAGTCGGTTAAGAGTCTGCCTTGGGCTCAGGACATGATTCCAGGATCTTGGGATCAAGCCCTGCATTGGACTCTCTGCTCAGTGGGGAGTCTGCTTCTCCCTCTCCCTCTCCCACTCCCCCTTCTTGTGCTCTATCTCGCTCTCGCTCAAATAAATAAATAAAATCTTTTAAAAAAACAAAACAAAACAGAAAAATCCCCAAAACACCAATGATGTACCATATGGTGACTGACATAACATAATAATAATAATAATAATAATAATAAAAGAAGCACATTGTATGTTTACAGTGGAAACACACTTAAGAAACAAAAGGGAACAGGTTGAAACAAGTTCGCTTAGAAAGAGTGTTTTATTTGAATTCACAGGATACTGACCCTAACATAATGAGGAACTTAGAGAGGATCTGAGTAGCCTCTCTGAATCTACTCTGCCTCAGCAATGAGGTATTCTTTTTGTGGAAGTACCTGAAAAACCACAGAGCACTGTACTAATAAAGGCTGTTTATTCAGAAACTTGTCAAGGCACAACCTGCTGACTTCCTAAGATTTCCTATTCCATCTTTCTCAAACTAAAAATCCAATAATACAATTTGAAATTTGACATAAATGTCAAGATAAGATGACTGCTTTACTAAATTATGGCACTTCCACACAATGGAATACTATGCAGCAATTAAAGAACCAGGCGACAATCGTCTTGTTGCTGCTAGTGTGGGCGCTGTAGCTCCGAGGCTGCTCTGTGATCAGGCAGGAGAAAGTGAATGAGTAATGACGTGAGGTACTAGGGCCATCATCTGTGCCATCCTTGAGAACTGAGATTCTCAGTATAGAGAAAGGGGGTACAATATAAAAAGAAGAGGTTAAATAAAATCTCCTGTAATTTTAAATTTGAATAGAAAGTATAAGTAAGAACTTATGATGTATTTTTAATCACCACCAAAAACCACTAATTTCCTAACTCTGTCCATTGAAAAGGTCTAGAGAGGATGACCAACCCAGGAACAATGAGCACCTCCAAGTGTCTAGATTATTGTCTCTAAGAATCATTTCCCACCAAGAGAAACTAGGGATCCTAGGAGAAATGGCTGATTCCAGGTCTGGGGCAAGCTCTGGAAGATCTTAGCTTCCTTGCTATGTGAATGACATCAAAGGTTACCAGGGTCATGTAAAAAGGAGCCAATGACTGAGATGGCACAATCCAAACACCAATAAAAATAATAAACAAAATGGACTAAAACACACCAAATGTGTTTAAACCTGTGAGTTTACAAAGATACTAAAAACAAAACAGGAAACCCTGATTGGTCATTGGAAGATGATAGTAAACTACTCATTATTTTGAAAACTGAAAAATAAAGGGAAAAAAGCAAACACTTACCCTATATTTCCTATATAAATTGTATTATTGGATGCTCTAATAGGAGATATATTTGATTGTTTGTATTTCAGCTAATACATGAACAATTAACTAATGGATCTAAGCAATAAACATCAACAGATGCTAAAATCACTAAACGAGAAAACTATACCTTATGAGCCTTCTGACACGAGAGGACAACACAGTTTATGAAGCAGTTTTGCCCACAGACATCAAATGTAAATGCAACTAAATAACTAAATCAAACTAATTTGTAGGAAATACGGAGGGTAGAAGGACATGTTAAATAGCACCACAGGGCTGCCATAAAAGAAAAAAAAAAATCCAGGCTGTGGGAATCTCTACAGGTAAAAAAATATAATTTCTTCATGAAAAAAAGTGCAAGGGGGCAGGGAGGGGAGTAGAGGGATATAAAAGAAACCTATAGATTAAAAGGCACATGAAAGACATGTCAATATACTGCAATGTGTGGGCCTGATTTGGATTTTATTTTATTTATTTTTAAAAATATTTTATTTATTTATTTGAGAGAGAGAGAGAGAAAGAGAAAGAGAGAGAGAGAGACCACACAAGCAGGGCAAGTGGCAGGTAGAGGGAGAAGCAGACTCTTGTTGAGCAGGGAACGCAACATGGAGCTCAATCCCAGGACCCTGGGATCATGACCTGAGCTGAATGCAGAAGCTTAACTGACTGAGCCACCCAGGCACCCCTGGATTCTGATTTTAAATTAAAGGTTAAAAAATGGCATTTATACCACCGCCATAAATTTGAACATTCGCATATACCATATATATGTTATAAAGAAAATGTTGCTAATTTTTAAGGTGTGACAGTGGTGTTAGTAATGCTACATACTAGGTATTCACAGGTGAAATGATGTAATGTCACAGAGTTGCTTTAAAATAACCTAATGGTAGCTGAGAAAGTAGGTGGGGGCACAGATAAAATGAGATCAGTCCTGTATTGATGATTGCTCAGGCTGGATGAAAGCCCATAAAGGTCTGTTGTTCTGCTCTTTCTACTTTATCACATGTTTACATCTTCCCATAATAAAAGATTAAAAGAAATCCTTCCTCCCAACATCCGGCTTGTCGACTGGTTCTGACTAGTATTTCAGGTCTTGTATTTCATGAACAATGGAGAACTGAGCTGTGTGTTTCAGATCGTTCATCTGAGGGGTCTCTCTATTAGCCAAGGAGCTCCTCCATCACTTTCCTCACCAGAATACATCAGTATGTGCTTGGGAGTATATACACAGACACACACAAAAGAAGATTTCTCATGATCTAAATATTTTGCTTTGAAGCTGCAAAGAGTTATGAGAGGGTTGAGTTTTCATAAAGCAATAACATGGAACTCTATAGAACCAAATTTGCCTGGTACCAGCGTTCAGGGGAGCTCACAGCCAGAGGAAAGGAAAGACAGTGATGGTGCTGAGCTTGGGTGGTGCTTCCGTTTAGAAGTTCTGAGAAAATAACCAGGCAGATCCGGATGACAAGGGACATTGGTTCTGTTCCCATGCTATTATTTGCATCAGTGCCACTGAGTTTCCTAAACTGGATAATAATGTCTGTAGGAAAGCGATGTATGCCAATTCTCTATTTGGGGACCCCACAGGTGAGAGAAATGAAGAGGGTTGAAGAGACAAGACTGAACCTTTAAGCCCCATCACCCCAGGTGTAGGATGGGTAAGAGGGAATCACAGTTAGGGCCCAGAAAGTGGATGGTTATCTTTAGAAATGGTACCTCTTAGCTCTCAAGGTAAAGCATGTTGTTTAGAGTGGCTTACGTGGCTCCTGCTTCTTTTGCCAGCCTCCCCAGCATCTGTGCCCAGTTGTAGCATCCAGGCTTAGGAGTCCCTCCCATGGCCTTCCTGAAACCTTAAACCTTAAACCTTAAACCTGAGACTGACCCCCGTTCTCCCACTGGTAAAATTCCCCATTCTTTTGTCTTTCTCCCCAGTGAGCCCGTAACCTCCTTGAGGGCAGGGGTTCCGTCCTTCTTAGTGGTATTTTATCACATAGCACAAGGCCTGGGATATAGAGGTGCCCCCCAAAGAGTAACTGCAGAGTTGAACGTCACTATGGAAGTAGAGTAAGTAGTGGTTATGAGCTGGGCTTCACGGTGAGACGAGACTCACTGCCCTGCCCGCTCCCTATACCCACTTTGCTGATGTGGTGTTAGGGTTTCTGGATTCTACTACTGACTTATTACAGGACCTCAGATTTTGTAAAAATTTTGAGATTCTCCTGGAAAGGATAACACCTATAACTAAATGTCTATCTCTCTGCAACAATGTAACTGATCCAGGAAGACAATACTAGGAAGAATTTCACTATCCACTTACCTGGACTGGTTTCCCCTGATGGCCTTAAAATAATAAAACCTGAAATTCTAGCTACACACAATGCCTTGGACCTATATGAAAGGGTGAGGTGTTGGAGTGGACAAATGAACACTTTTTGAGTAGATAAGAACTAATCGAGTAGATAAGCAAACCTGGGCATCTTCGAATGTGTATCTGCCTCCATCTTTGACGTTTTGACTGGTTATCTCGTAGCTGTGAGAATCCAGGTTGATTGCGCTTGGGGCCCCTGGAGCCAGGAACTCTTGCCAGATTTCTTCTACCCTCTTGGCCACATCCTGGAGGGGTTGTTTCTTGAGGTCTTGGACAGCCAACCAGAACCTGGGAAGCATAAAGAAAGTCATTTCCACGGCGCTCAGCCTCTGGACTCTGCTGGACGTGGTCCCAGAACACACAGCCCATAAAACTCATTCTGCTGCATCTCCAGACTTCCCTGCTGCCACTACCTAAGAGCAAAGATGGTAGGGACTGCTGGAAATTCACAGGGTGCTACATTATTGTGGAGAATTGAAAGGAAGTGCCCATTAGAGAAATCATTGTACTTCTGGTTACCAAGAGGTTTCTTTCCCTTTACATCAAGGTTTCTCAAGCTCTGCACTATTTCCATGTTGGGCTCAATGATTCTTTTTTGTGAGGGCTGCCCTGTGCATTGTAAGATGTTGAGCAGCATGCCTAGCCTCCACCCACCAGATGCCAGTGGGGACCCCTCCCCAAGTTGTGACAACCAAAAATGTTTCTAGGTATTACCGAATGCCCCCTAGGAGGTGAAGTCCCCTCCTGGTTGAGAGCCAGTGCTCTCCACAGGTGCCCTGACACAGAGAGTATGAATTCATTTGTCATATCTGGTTGGGATCAGTTTGCAGCATCAAAATGAAGGAAATCACAGAGGCAGAGAGAAGCTTGGAATTATAACGAATATCTGAGCTGGAAGGACCCAGCTATTCATGTTGCTGATGGAAAAGCAGCCAATTTGCAAGGTCGGTGTCCAGCATGATGCTTAGCATGTAGTAGGTGCTCAATAAATGGCTGTTGGCTTGAAGATGAGCTCCTGAGGAACAAAACTGGAGAGGCACACATGGGCAACCTCTATGCCAAAAGATTCTCCAGAGAGCACTGGAGAGGAAGACCTCTAGCTCACTTCCATATGTGCTTTTCATGAATTCCTCAGCATCAGCATGGCAGCGGCTGTTGGAAGAGCTGGGTGTGAGCTCTTTTCTGCTGAGGGCAGCAGCAAACAAGGCTAAGCTTGGACAACAGCTCCCTGGTCATGAGGATGGTTCCCGAGGAAGCCCTGGGGAGGGCTTGCAGCAAGACCCAGATCTGGGTAGCACACTTTGTGCCTTGTGAACAAGACAGGCCAGTGTCCCCATCAATGAGACATGAGGACAGGCCCCAGGCTATGTGGTTCCCACAGCCATAGCATTCACACATAAGCCAGTCAATGAAAGGCAGGGACAAGAGAAGCTGGACCACAACACGGTGGAAAGTGAGTTCAATCTGTCATCGAATTGCACCCAGAGTAAGACGTACTTGTTTTTTCCTTTTCTTTCCTTCTTTCTTTCTTTCTTTCTTTCTTTCTTTTCTTTCTTTTCTTTCTTTTCTTTCTTTTCTTTCCTTTCTTTTCTTTCTTTTCTTTCTTTTCTCTCTCTCTCTCTCTCTCTCTCTCTTTCTTTCTTTCTTTCTTTCAAAGGTTAAGGATGTTTTTCTGCCGCTGTTCTTAGAATTGTCTTTGGAGCCAAGTGCATGGCCCAAAGGCGCCACTTAGTGGCCAACTTTGGTAATACAGCTCCATGTCCACCAGGAGAGAGGTGTGGCGGGGCCTCTGGACTCCCAACTCGTCCCTTGTTGGTCCTGAACAGCCAGAGTCCAGGAAGGAGATTTAATGACCTCACTTGACCAGAAGACCAGGAAACACAGTTCAGTCCTCATCTTGACTATGCTGCTGTCTTGGAATTGTGCCTTTCTGGGCATCCCTTCCCCCATCTGTAAAATGGGTACGAAGTGGGTGGCAGGATGTGTGACGTGGGTCTCAAGAAGTTCCCATCCAGGTGTAACAGAAATGCTTTCAGTTCCCGTGGGTGAGAGCCATGGGGAGGTCAAAGGGGACGGCCACATGGTCAGTACCGGGCTTCCTCCTTGGATGGCTGGGCGTTCTCTCTGTGAGGAGTGGGGTTCTTCCACCTCCCAATCCCATGCCTCAGGGTCCTTAGGCCTCTCCATCCCACCCTCGACGTCTGCTGTGGAATGAAGGAGGTGCCCAGGACACAAAGATGAACATGGTCATCTGGTGATGTCTTTGTCCGAAAGGCAGGGTGTGATGGGCAGGTGAGAATTAGGAAACCCAGCTCTGAAGAAGCAAGCTGCTGTGGGTTTTTCAAAGGACCAGAAGGAGTGCTCGTGGGCAACTCACCAAAGATGGAGTCAGTGAGTCTTTGGCAGCCACATGCTGGGGCTGATGCGAGAAGGGCCCTCCCTCAGGGAGTTGTCTCTGGGGTGAGTCCCCCGGGGCTGGAAGCAGCTCCTCTGGGCCAGCATCCTTCCCGAGCCTACCCAACCCTGCAGTTTCTCACACACATGGATGGTTCCTGGGCAATTTCCTGCTCCCTCAATCAATGTCATGTGGGGGTCACCTTCTGTCACTTTCTGTCCCTTGTTTCGGGCTGCTCTGAGGAGAAGCTCTCAAGCTCCGGGAAGGCCCTGAGGACCCAGCAGCTTCTGAGCTCTGCAGGCTCCTGCGGTTCCCAAGGCCTCAGAGTCCCTTTGGCAGAATGATCTGGGAGCCGCAGTCATGCCCATCACTCAGCAGGGTATAAAGAAGGTCTAAACTGATGTCAACAGAGATTCCAGAATCCAATGTAACACACTTGTACATAAAAATTAAAAGGTTCCCTTTGTCACAAACCAAGAATTTTTCAAAATAAAAGTACAAGAAGAAACCACAGGCTTGTTTGAAGACGAGGAGGAGATGACATTCCTCAGACAGCCGTCTTTCCTCCCTGCCCTCACAGGGACCCTATCAGCCTTATGCCTGCCTTGCAGATGACCTGCCTTATCCTTCTCAGGTGACAGCAAAAATGCTGTCACAACAGCATCCTGACATCCTCTATGTGTTCACCATCACCGGCTTCGAAGAACCTTTGTGTCAATTTGAAATTCAGAGCAGGCTCCAGTTTGCATTTGCCATCTGTGAGCCCACTGGCCTGAGGCGGGAGCGCCGCGCTCCAAGCCCCTGGGCCCCAATGGCCCAGCCACACACCCCTCTCCGGGGCCACGGAGCTCCCCGCCACACACCCGGGACTGGCTCGAGGCCCGTGGAGGCTGGGGCAGCTTCTGCCTTCCTGAAGCCTGCAGGTACAGGTACTGCTCCTCCTGGAGGACGCCAGCGAGAGTGGGGGGACGATGCCAGCAGCGGCATCAAACCCGCCCATCCTGCACTAAGCCTCTGTGGCTTGCAGCAGAAGGGCTGTCATGACTGGCAGGCCACAAGGACTTGCTGGTATCAGGGAGACCATCTGTCCCGCTCCGCTGGAGTCGTCAGAGTGTGGGGAGGCAGCCCGCGCCGGCATGGGGTGTGCGGCGATGGCTCAGGAATGCAGGCCTGGCACGGGCCTGGGTAGGGAGCCCATGGGGGCTCTGACGCCCCAGGGCCCAGCAGCAGCCGTAGTGGGGGGGGGGTTCCAGGGGCAGGTGGTCCCCGGACTGCCCCAGGTAGCCTCCTCTGTCCCCAGGACCTCAGTGCCGGCAGGGAGTGGGATTTTCTCCTGGAGGCTGGCTGGAAGCAGGAACAGCACGCAGCCACTGTCCCTCTCTTGCCAGGGCTTCTGGGCAGCCCATCAGTTCTTATTTTCCCTATTTTTTTTCATAAACTAGGATTTTCACGGCTTGGAAAAATCTAGCTTTTAGTTCATTCCCAGAGAAAATGCAAACTTGATGCTGAAGGAAGACTTTCTGTGCCCTCTGCTGGTCAGCAGAGACTCAGGAAGGACAGAGGCAACTTGACTGGGTCCCTGGTGGGGCGGAAATCCTCCGGGGGGGGCTACCGCAGCCACCAGCCCCAGCCCCGCGGCCGCTGAGTTCTGTTCCTTCCAGGGGCAGTGGCTGAACTGCCACAGATTGTCACGGTGGCGCGTGAGCCACCTCTGCTGCGATTAATCATGTGTTTGGTTAGTGGTGAGTCCTGCTGGGCCTCATGAACCTTCCCAGGTCCTCCCAGGACCTGGGGCAACTCTCAGAGCCTGGAGCTCTCCAAGCAAACCCGGCAGCTCCCCTGTGCTCTCTTTAATTGCTTCTCCCTTCAGCTGACACTGTGTGGAACTGGGATAATCAATCTGCAGGTTAGAAGAACAACCACGTTCTCTCAGGAGACGTTACAGCTCATAAAAAATGTACTGGCAACGCTCTTTGCTGTGGGTTTTGAGTTTTAACTCATGCCCTGCCGTGCAGAAGTGGGTGTCGCGCCAGGGAGGGAGCAAGATGGGCATAGGGGTGATGGGGAGGGGGCAAAGGTGGACAAGGGACTCCTGTCACCATTCTGGGAAAGCGCACAGAGAAGGGAGGACGAAGTCGGATAATGCACTCGACGTCCCTGCTTCTCGCCTTCTGGGTGACAGCCCGTGGACATTGTACAGGCCCCCAGCAAACGGTTACCTTGGGGCCCCAGGCCATCAGAATGGAGCCCTGGGCTCAGGTCAGGGTGCCACAGAGAGTGTGGGTTCTCACACCCTGCAAGGCGCTGGATCCCCAAAGATGAGGCCCCTCCCTTCTCAGCTCACCATGAAGGGGGACTTGAACTTATGTCCTATTATCACAGACACCTTCCCTTAAAGGATCCAGGGTGATGCTTTGCTGTTGTGACAGTGACTTCTACGTCTCTTTGGGGCTCCTCTGGGCTGTCCTCTAAAGCTCTGGTACACGTTCAACCACGTGGCTACTTCACCAGGGCCATGCAAAAATGTTACCTTCTAAGTACCCCTTTTGCTCTTAGAGTGATGCAAAGGCATCTGGGAGGACGAGATGGAGATGCCCTTTGCAATGGATGAGGTTGAGTGCTGGTTGGTCTCTTTTTTCCATCCCTGAATGCCAGTTGCCTGGGCTGCTGATCCGTCCTGGGGAGAAGGGATAATTCCCAGCGTGCCCAAAGCCAACAGACGAGCAGGACCCCTGGGTTATGCCACGTTCTTCAGCTCCAGGGGGCACCATTCACAGGGAGCTTGCTGAAGGCCCATCTGCGGGGCACCCGTGGCCGCCCTGCTCAGGGGAGTCCTTGGGCCCTGGGTCACTGTGGCTGCTAAGCCACTCTCTGTGGCTGGAGGACTGACTGCAAAGGGGAGGGGAGAAACCACCTGGGTAGGGATGACCGAAGAGTCCTAAGTAGTTGTGTGATTACAAACCGAACTTTCCCCCACGTATCCAATTATGCTGAATATCATAAAAGTGGAACTTGGGTCCCCAGAGAGGATTTTATAAACTTGTGGGCTGTACTTTTTATCTCCGGCTGTTCTATTTTCTTTATCCTCTCTCCTGTCATGGATCAGAGGGGTCCCTCTCTAAGTGTGGATTTCTGCATTCATGCTGGGGGTGTAGATGAGTCACTGGCACACTCCCGAGTGCCCCTCCCCTACGCCTCTTTCACCCAAGATTGAGTGTAGCCTCCTGCCACAGGAGGAAGGAGCTGGTGGAGGCATGGGGGGCCGGGGGGGCGTGTGGCGAGTGGGGGATGGCAGGACGAGGCACCCAATACCTGCAGGGACAGACTCCTCCCTGCCCTCCTAGCCTTACAAGTAATGCATTTTCGCTGCACACGTGTGGCTCTGGCTGCACTCAGACTGGGCGCGGAGGAGGGGCTGAACCAGCAGATGCTCCGGCTCAGAATGACCCTCAAAATGACCAGGACCCCGTCTCTGTAATGGTGCAGGTGGCAGGAGGGTCATAAGGCCACGCATAGTATGAGAAATAACCAGGTGAAGGAGGCTTCTAGACCACTCTAGACCAATTTCTTTTTTTTTTGGGGGGGGGTCCCACAGGGAACAGAGATAAAAAGGAGAAACTGGAAAGACTCCTCATGGGGGTCTTTGGGCTCAGTGTGTGTCCCAGGGCCGAGCCTGTGCAGGGAGAGGCCCCGGAAGGCAGCACTTGGGACCAGGGGGGCGTGGCCTCCGAAACCCCACCCACCTCCTCCAAGAGCAGCCTGGGGAGCGAGGCTGGTCTGAACACCACCCTAAGGGAGAGTTTGAGAGCCCAGGCCTTTTGTTACAAACGCCTGCCTAGGAATTGAAGCGGAGCTCTCAGGTGTGTTCAGGACAGTGCCTCTGCGTCAGGAAAGAACTCCTGCGCCCCGACGGGGCCTCAGGAGTGCAGCCTTATCTGCTGTACGGTAGCCTCCGGGTTGCCTAGAAAGGCATCGGGTGCATACGGTTAACCAGGACCCACACATCCTGCTGGAGCTCTGTAGTGTGGGAGAGCCCACCGCCACGCCGTGGCTCATAGGGTCTTCTCGCTGAGAACACTCTCCCTCCTTCTAGTTTGTCTATCGGTATCCTGTGTATTCTTCCGAGTCCGGCTTATGACTGGCTACTCCGGCTCACATTCATCCCTCCCTTTTATTAAACATGCCCAAAACAGTTCCTAGAGTTTATACTCATTGATAGTCATTTAAGATGTAATTGTTTCTTGTGTTTTTTCCCTCAAGGGCCTACAAGATCACTGGAGACAAGGATCATGCAGTTTGCCTTTCTTGCATCCCTCAGCCGACTCCTGCGGAACTTGATGCAGCATATGTGTGGGATAAACAGCGCCTGACTGATGAATGGGACCGATGTGGTCCCTGCTGCCAAAGAAATAACATGGTCTTTGCACGGTGACACCGGAGCGGACAGTCCTTTGCCCACAATATATGCTCTGATTTTTTAAAGTTAAAAAACTTTTTTAAAAGTGGAATAAAACCACCCTTTCTGAGAAAGACACCACTGGATGATGGGAATTAACCTTGCATGCAAAAAAAAAAAAAAAAAAAAAAAAAAAGAACCTGATGCCAAGAAAAAGGTCCTGAGCTTTCCCTCTGAGAAGTCACCAGTTAGCTGGGATCACATGGGGGCTCAGACCCATAGGTCTCTGTTGATTCGAATACAATGGAAACCTGAATAAACCATAAGTTCCCCAGCCTTTCATGACAATGGACCCTCTCCCTCTGAATGCTTTCCCTTTCCTCTCTCTCTCAATGGGCCTCCTGTTTTGAAGATTTTGTTTTTTTCTTCAACTGAACAGTAATTATTATTTTTTTTTTTAAAGATTTTATTTATTTATTTGACAGAGAGAGATCACAAGTAGATGGAGAGGCAGGCAGAGAGAGGGGGCGGGGGGGGGAAAGCAGGCTCCCTGCTGAGCAGAGAGCCCGATGCGGGACTCGATCCCAGGACCCTGAGATCATGACCTGAGCCGAAGGCAGCGGCTTAACCCACTGAGCCACCCAGGCGCCCTGAACAGTAATTATTAATACATCGATGCATTTCCCCCATCTTGATTAGCTGGAGACCAAGAGCGATGATCGGGTGTTCTCACTGGCAGCAGGTGACCAGAGCAACTGTGACACGGTGTTGATTGACTCCCCCCCAAAAGGAAAATCATGTTTTTGTTAGCTTTTACGGATATGTCTCCAGACATTGAACTGTATATACTCTGGCTTTTTAAAATTCTGAAATGAGCTCAGGGATCCCTCTTTTTTTCTAGTTAGTTTGTCGAGTGTTGGGGTCCCCTGCCCGAGAAGTTTTGAAGGAGAGGGTTTCTGAGCTACCTTTCCACTCCGCAGCTCCCTGGTTCTCTGTCATCAGACCCACTGGATCATTTGCTTATCACGGGAGACATGTTTCCAACAACTTGAACAACTGTCATCTGGACTTACGGGACAGAAAATGCTGGTCTGGGGAAGTGGTGATGTGGGGATGCCAGAGCTGGGCATCAGGTTCATCCTCCACTTCTGTCTTGGCCAGATTAGCGGGGGTGTGAGTTTTATTGAGAAAGGGCGGCGCAAGGGGAGACTGACTGTGCACATCTCCTCATACACACTCTGCACACGGAGGCAGCCTTGGACAGGGTTACCTGAGGTTTTCTGAGCTGAACTCGGACTCCAGGAATCTCCGGAACTGATCCTGCCCCACCTGGTCCTTTAACACCTCGTCGAAAGAGAAGCCCCACCTCTTGACTCGCTGCTGGCTGGGCTCTTTGCTTTTGGGGAGAACAAAGGTTTTAAAAAAATGATCAGTGCTAAGCAAAAAACACCGTGGCTTATTCCTTCTACCAACTCGAATCTATTTTGCTGCCGCATGCCGAAGGGCAAGGTTTCAGATTGAAGTGTTGGATTCGGTAAAACCTGCACAAACTCCAGTTGCCCACTCGGTACAACCTCAGCCAATGGTAAAGTGTCTCTTTAGACAAGGCATTTCAAAGGGGCCACATTTAGGCGAGGGTCCCCCGGAGACCTGCCAAGTGGCTGCTGTCTACAGGGAGGGAAACAACCCCGTTCACTTGGCTTCCCTGGACCCTGCCTGTCCACTACCGCCCAACTCTCGACTCTACCGCTTCTCGTCGTGCTTAGATCCAAGTGGCATCCGAGCAGTGAGAAACGCATCAGCTCCTCCAGGACGAACCCTACCACTTGTGTAGAAGCAGACTGTTGTGTCCACTGAACCACCTCTGGTCAGCCTCTCCGATGTTCTGGGCGTTGCTCTGAGCATCTTATCTCTGCTAACTCACTGGGTCCTCACAACTGCTCTGTAAAACACTGTACTAGTATTGGCCTCATTTTACAGACAGGGAAACTGAGGGCTGTGATCGCCTGTCCAGAGACACACTGGGAAGTGGTGGAGTCAAGACGAGTCCAGACAAATGTGGCTCCAGAGTGCAGCCCTTAGCCTAACTGTGCTGTCCTACACCCATGTGACCCTCCTCAGACCAAAGCAGGGGTCAGTCTTATTCTTTTGCTCTGGGAGGATGAGACTAGTTCCTTCAGCTCTGCGTTTCCGTTTGCAGTTCACTTGTGTACTTATTCCCCTGACCCTTCGAGTAGCTTTGGGTCTAGGTCACAAGCCGCATGCCATAATTGCCATATGCAAAGAGTGGTCTGGGGACCAGCAGTGGACTCTTAAGCTCTGTCTTGGACATGGGGAATCAGAATTCACAGCCATTGAGATCCCTGGGTGAGTTAAATGCTCACTAAACTTTGAGGAGCATGGGTCTGGCAATACTTATTTTCCTTCTTTTTAAAAAACTGACACATAGTTCTTATTATCTCTAGCAGGCATTAAGTGAATAAAATCATAGAGTTGATATATTCTCGTATTTGTCTTAGACAATGACACTTAGTGAGGAGGGGGAAGAGGGCATATGTGTTCAAAGGTTTGGAAAAACAAATAGGTCCTGCCAAGTGTTGCCCAATGGAAGTTTCTGCTACGATAAGAGTATTCTGTATCTCTTCCCTCTGTCTGGAAGCCCCTAGACCCGTGTGGCTCTTAAGCACTTCAAATATGGCTAGTGTGACTGAGGAACTGATTTTTATTCTTATTTTTTTCCTTTATTTATTTTTTTATTATGTTATGTTAGTCACCATACAGTACATCATTAGTTTTTGATGTAGTATTCCATGATTCATCGTTTGCGTATAACACCCAGTGCTCTGTGCAATCCGTGCCCTCTTTAATACCCATCGCTGGGCTAACCTATCTCTACTCCCCTCCCCTCTGAAGCCCTCAGTTTGTTTCTCAGAGTCCATAGTCTCTCAAGGTTCGTCTCCCCTTCTGATTCCCCCCCTTCATTTTCTCCTTCCTTCTCCCAATGTCCTCTGTGTTATTCCTTGTGCTCTACAAGTAAGTGAAACCATATGGTAATTGACTTTCTCTGCTTGACTTGTTTCACTTAGTATAATCTCCTCCAGTTCCATCCATGTTGATGGAAAAGCTGGATATTCCTCCTTTCTGATGGCTGAGTAATATTCCGTTGTATATATGCCATATCTTCTTTATCCATTCATCTGTTGAAGGACATCTTGGCTCCTTCCACAGTCTGGCTATCATGGACATTCATTTACACCGTACATGATGATTTTAAAATTTTATTTCATTTTAAATCATGAAAGTTTGTCTGTTTGTCTGTCTGACAAACCAATCCCTCACTGCCAGAACTTCTGATTTAATCATACTAAGGAGGGTACTGGGCATTATTTTTCTTGTTTGTTTTTTATTTTTTATTTTATTTTATTTTATTTTTTAAGATTTTATTTATTTATTTGACAGATGGAGATCACAAGTAAGCAGAGAAACAGGCAGAGAGAGAGGGGGAAGAAGGCTCCCTGCTGAGCAGATAGCCCCATGCGGGGCTCAATCCCAGGACTCTGGGATCATGACCTGAGCCTAAGGCAGAGGCTTTAACATACTGAGCCACCCAGGTGCCCCTGTTGTTTATTTTTTAATAAACTCTCCAGGTGGTTCTAATATATGGCCAGAGTTGTTGGCCAAGAACTTCTCTTATGAAAACCAACAGTCCCTCAAATTGCTGGGTATATGAGAAGATGGACAGATCTACTCTGAACGGTGATTAGTCACAGTGACTGATTATATGATAAATGACCCCCAACGAAACCCACTATGTCAGAAACAGAGGGGAAGTATGAAAACCAAACCAAACCAAACCTGTATCACACCCTCAGGGGGATTTAAGAGGGTAAATATTAAAAGAACAGGGCAGGCTGCTAAGAAGAAGGGGTCCATCCATAGTTTGGCTATTGTAGACATTGCTGCTATAAACATCGGGTGCACGTGCCCCTTCGGATCACTACGTTTGTATCTTTAGGGTAAATACCCAGTAGTGCAATTGTTAGATGTCCATCAACAGACGAATGGATAAAGAAGATGTGGTATATATATACAATGGAATACTATGCAGCCATCAAAAGAAATGAAATCTTGCCATTTGCGACAACGTGGATGGAACTAGAGGGTATCATGCTTAGCGAAATAAGTCAATCAGAGAAAGACAACTATCATATGATCTCCCTGATATGAGGGAGAGGAGATGCAACATGGGGGGTTAATGTGGTAGGAGAAGAGTAAATGAAACAAGTTGGGATTGGGAGGGAGACAAACCATAAGTGACTCTTAATCTCACAAAACAAACTGAGGATTGCTGGGCAGAGGGGGGTTGGGGGGGGGTTATGGACATTGGGTAGGGTATGTGCTATGGTGAGTGCTGTGAAGTTTGTAAACGTGGAGATTCACAGACCTGTACCCCCGGGGGAAAAATATATATATATATGTTTATAAAAAATAAAATTATTAAAAAAAAAAGAAGAAGGGGTCCAAGAAATATTAAGAATTCCTGAAGTGAAAAGCATGACTGTCACCCAGCCCTCCCAAAACTCAGTAGGAAAAAGAAAAACTCATAAAGTATAAAATCACAGAATGGACATTACTGAACACCAAGCCGAAGGCTTTGAAGAATAAGTCAAGGAATTCTATCCTTGAATATAGAATAAAAAGACCAAGAGATGGGAATTATAAGAGAGAAAAGATAAAGAGAGATGGCTGTTCAATCCCAGAGGCTCAGAGTTTCTACAAAAGGATTTCCTGAAAAGAGAGGATAAGACAGAAAAAAGAATATTAGTGATGAAAAAAAAAAAAGGGGGGGGGTGGGGGAGAGAGCGAGAGAGAGAAAATACCTTGAGTTAAGGAAAGATTTAAATTCTTGGATCAGATTAGAAGAGAGGACATAGGGCCCATCTGAACTATTAGAAAGCACTGGGTGTGATGCATAAACAATGAATCTTGGAACACTGAAATAATAAAATAAAGTTAAAAAAAGAAAAAAAGAACTATTAGAAATAAGATAGTCTTCTACCAGCTATTTTTCTTTTAACGTTGATGAAGAAATATAAGTCCCAAAATGTTGGTTTAAAATATATCAGTCTTGGGGTGCCTGGGTGGCTCAGTGGGTTAAGCCTCTGCCTTTGGCTCAGGTCATGACCTCAGGGTCCTGGGATCGAGCCCCGCATCAGGGTCTCTGCTCAGCAGGGAGCCTGCTCCCCCTACCACCCCGCCCCCTGCACCTGCCTTTCTGCCCACTTGTGATCGCTCTGTCAAATAAATAAATAAAATCTTTAAAAATAATATATCAGGCTAACATAACTATCAAGAGAAATGGGACTTGGAGGAAGCCAAGGGAAATTTCCATTTTTTATTTTACATACTTTATTATTATTTGTATGGTTGACGCCATTAATTAAAAATGAAAACATTTAATAGCAAGTATGAAGAGAATAGAAACTAGAGTAAGGAAAGCTAATACAAAACTTGGTAAATAAGGCAAAAATCAGGGAAGAGGAAAAGAAAAAGAACGAGATTCGGAAACCATGAAATATCAGAATAAAGATAAAATACATAATCCAAGTAAATATAACTATTTTGTATCCCAATGTCCAAAGCAAAACACACCACTAGAAAAGTGGGTGAAGAACACAAAACAGTCAAGTTCACAAGAGAAAAATGAGTATCAACCATGAGAAAAGATTCTCAAGTCTTTTAGCAAAGTGAAAAACACGAGATCTTTTATTTTAACTTATCACATAGGTGAAAATGACAAAGATTGATAATGCTTGAAGATAATGCTTGAGTAGGCAAGGAATGTGGAGAAATGGACACTTTTAAACTGTGGGCAGGAAATAAAATGATATTATTTTGCTTAAGAGAATCTAGTCATATGAACTAAAATAAAAATAAACATGCCAGTCCTAGCAATTCCACTGTTGGAAGTTTATCCTAAAGTAGTAATTGGACTTGTGTAAAAGGATGTTCTTTGCATCATTGTTTACACTAGCAAAAAAAAAAAAAAGAAGAAGATAGAACCTTAATATTTATGACCTGGGGACTGGTTAAACACATTATACTATACTCATGCAAGGGGACACTATGTAGTTATTGAAAAAGTTAAGGCAGATTTATATGTGTTTACAGAGAGAGATTCCCATGATATATTAATTAAAAAATTATGGGACAATGTATATATAATGAATCCCTTTATGCAAAAGAATATGATACTGCATATACGTGAGAATCTAAAAACAGAGACTCTAAATCAAAGGTTCCCAAACTTCCTGAGTTCATGGCATCCTTAGAGTCTCAGTTACTTTTTCATGGTACCCCTGGGCAAAAAAACCCATGTAACAGCTTTTTTTTTTTTTTAAGATATTATTTATTTATTTGACAGAGAAAGACACAGTGAGAGAGGGAAGCACAAGCAGGAGGCGTGTGAGAGGGAGAAGCAGGCTTCCCGCTAAGCAGGGAGCCCGATGTGGGGCTCGATCCCAGAACTCTGGGATCGGGACCTGAGCCGAAGGCAGGAGACTAACAACTGAGCCACCCAGGCGCCCCCAGCTTTGTTTTTTAAATATGTCCAAAGGACTTAATATGTATTCATGTCCTCAAATTTAGTAGCTATAAAGTATATATAAATTGAAAGAAAAAACAATGTTTACTTCATTCTTAAATAACCACAACGTGTCCCTCTTCTCAAACTTTGGAATCAGGCTGGACCCCAATATGCTCGTTTCCTGTTCCATTTTGATTTTTGCACAATACTTGCCTTTTATCAGCAACTGCCCTGAAAACCCACACTTGCAAAGAAAGGAATGTAATGTGAAATGTTGAAAATGGTGAAGTACTTCAAGCTAGTATTTTACACCGTGTCAGATGCAGGGCAGCCGTCGCCATGCTTCCCTCGAGGATACAGAATATGCCAGGGTGACCCTGTGAATTCCCTGCAGGGGCCCAGGGTGCCCTGGCTCCGTTTGGAAACCCTGACATTAAACTGTAAGCAAAGATTCTTTCTGGAAAGTGAGATTGGATGGGAGGGAGAGAAACTTTTCTCTGTTATGCACATCTGAATAGTTTGAACTTTTATTATAATAAGCAAAATATAAAAGTAATAAAAGACTTTCATTACTTTCTTAAAAGATTTTTTATTGTTTTTAAGACTCAATTTATTTATTTGAAGGAGAGAGAGAGAGAGCACGCAAAGAAACGAGTAGGGGAGAGGAGCCGAAGGAGAGGGAGAAGCAGGCTCCCCAATGAGCAGGGAGCCCAATGTGGACTCAATCCAGGGTCCTGGCATCATGACCTGAGCCAAAGGCAGACGGTTAACTGAGCCACATAGATGCCCCAGACTTTTATTACTTTTTATAAGTTTTATTTTTCATTTCCAGAAAAGAAACCAGAAAAAGAGCAAGAGTGTAGGCGAATGAGGGAGATATAGAGAAATGAAAAATGAAATAAAAAGGCTTCTAGCTGAGGGGCAGAGGGTGCCAAGGCACACCACACCAGGTGTGTCTGTGTGCTTCCCTCAGTGACTGTGACTCTGGTCCCAGTCCCTCTGGGCTTTGGCTCCTGGGCTGGTAAATGAACGCCCTACCTTCCCTCACAGGTGAAGAGCTACTTTTAGTCACTCCCCAAGAGCAGAGTGATGAAAACCACAGCTCTGGAACCTGTTGTCTGGGTTCTGGCCCTAACTCTGCTACCCACTCGCTGAGGGACCTCGAGCAGGTTCATTAACTCCTCTGTGCCTCAGCTTCCCCATCTGTTCAATGATGAGAACTCTGTTTACCTATTGTGGGGACTCGCTCTTATTGTTGCTACTGATGCTATATACCAACAAATTGGTCAACAGATTTTTTTGTCCCTCCAGCAATCAGAGCTAGGATGTGTGGGGGGTGCCTGGGTGGCTGTCAGTTGAGAGCCCGGCTCTTGATTCCGGCTGGGGTTTTGACCTCAGGGTCATGGGATCGAGCCTTGCATCTGTCGAGCTCTGCGCTCAGCAGGAAATCTGATTCTCTCTCTCTGCCTCTGCCCCACCGTCCACTCTCTCTCTCTCCCTTTCTCAAAATAAATAAAATATTAGAAAAAACATTAAGAGTGTCCCTGTTCTCACGATATCCAAGGGTCAGAGAGAGGTCAGAGGAAGGCACTGGGGATCCATGTACACACTGAAGCTATAGGGAGGTAGAACCCTGTGTGAGCAGAACTTACTTAGGAGGTAACTAGAGGGGTTTCTGTTCTAGTGATAAAAACAGTCAACTGAGATAGGAAATAATGTAATCTCACTATCACGTGATTTTTTCCCACATCTCTTTCCTTCTCAAACATTAAAACTTTTTTTACCTCATCTCTATGTCCCATAAAGTGATATCGTCACTGATCCAGGGATTGGAGGGCTCGGCCGGCGTGATCAAAGGATCATATTCCACATACTGTTCCGTGTAAGCAATTAAGCTGCAGGAGGAAAGCAAAGAATGCCGCTGAATTCCTTTAAAAACTTGTGTTCTCTTTTACACAAACATTATAACTGTCTTTTTAGAATTCTAAGTTAAAGGGAAACGCCTTTACTCGCACTTCTGACAAATCCAACTGTTTCCATGTGTGCTTGTTCCCTTCTCATGACGAATGTATCATTTTTGCATTATGCATTTTGCATTATGCAGTCATAGTACCTGTAGGCATTTTATATCTTTTCCCCACTTTACTCTGTACCTGGACCCTGGCTGCACTAGCCTGACTGATACACAGGTCCAAACCTGCTTGTGTATCACCTCTCGCAGAGACCACGGCTCTCAGGGCATCTGGGTCATAACGAGGACACTAGAGTCCCTCCAGGCTGTCAGCCAAGTGCTCCCAACTGGGAGATTTCCTTATTACAAAGGCTAAAATCCTGATAGACTGAAAGGAGGTAATGCATTATAAGCATTATTCCACAAAACAACTTAGTTTTTCCAGTTATAATTCAAGCGGCCGCATTATCTTTCTAAAACAATAAAATAGTACTAAATGATTTCACACACACACACACACACACACACACACACACACAAATAGCAATTTTAGCAAAAAAAAAAAAATAGGGATTTTTTTCTCCTATCCCTTTTCATGGACTTATACTTTCTACCCTTCTGTTTCCTTTAGCAGTTAGCTGTGTATTTCTAAATTTGGTTTTTATAGTTGTTCTTGATTATCAATTTTAGATGAGGATTTAACTTTCCCTTCACCAGTCCCCAACTCCCCCACCACCTCCCCCTATGATCCTCCTAAGAGACATATAATACTTTGTTAAATCAATATTTATTATTGTCCACATTATTAAACTAGATACAAGTTGTATTTTGATGCACTAAGGAGCCTCTTCAAGGGTTCTAACAAATCTGTAAAACATCCAGCAATGATTTTTCCACATCTTAAACACATCACATGATCGTAGTTCAGTTCTGTCTCCCCGCCTCCCAGAGGGCTTCTCTTCAAAGTCTCGAGTCCTCTCTCTCCAGTCTGGACCTGGAGACCTTGGCTCTACAGTGATGCAAAGTCACCGTTCTGAGAAGTCCTTCACTTTCTCGTGGAGACCTTGCTTTTCTGGACTTCACGTCTGTTTACTGGCTTGACTTCCTGGTTGTGTTGAAATCCTCCTTGAGTAGTTTCCTAAGAAAGGATGCACAAAGGCTAACTATTTCAAGTCCTTGCGGGTCTAAACATATTTTTGTTTTATCTTTATACTTGGCCGATGGTCCTGGGCACAGAACCCCAGGTTAAAAACCATCTTCCTTCAGGATTCTGAGGGTGGCACTCTACTGTGCTTTCTGGTGTCCAGTGCTACTGCTGAGAAGTCTGGATCCAGCTTCTTTTTCTACTGTCTTTCCTCGCTGGAAACGGAGCCTTCTCTTCTTGTTGCACTGCCCTGAGATTTCATCCCGCCCCTTGCTGGTTGTTTTTATTTACTGTGCTGGGTATAAGGTGCAAGACATTAAAAAAATTTTTTTCCCCAGAAGTATTATTTCTTGGCTAATTTCATTCCATTCATTTCCTTGGTCTTCTCTTGCTGTAATTCTTTCTTGGACCTTCTGGATTGGTAATCTAATTTTCTTAAATTTGCCTTACCGTTTTTCATCTTTTTGTCTTTTTGCTTGACAGTCCTTTCCATCTTGTTATTTATTTATTTGCTTTGAATCTGGGCTATCACTTTCTTAAGTTTCCAGAGTTCATTCTTTTTTATCATAGATCTAGTTCTTGATGTGTGGATGAAATATCTTCTGATATCTGATATTAATATTTCTTCTTTTTAAAAAAAATTTGTTTATTTTAGAGACAGAGAGAAAGTGTGAGTGGAGGGGGAGGGGCAGAATGAGAGGAAGAGAGAGAATATCAAGCAGACTCCTTGTTGAACACGGAGCCCGTGGTGGGGCTCAATCCCACAACCCTGAGATCATGACCTGAGTCGAAATCAAGAGTTGGACCCTTAACCGACTGAGCCACCCAGGTGCCCCTGATATTAATATTTCTGAGGATATGAATTCTATATTTTTATTTTCTGGGTTTTTTAAAATAGTTTTGGGTCCCTCCAAGTCCCATTTGCTCTTTGTTTTTATCATACTCCATCACACTGGGGTTTCCCTTGAGTGTCGGGAAAATCTCTGGACATCCACTTGTGTGAAAGAGTAAGATACAAAAACCTGCTTGGAGATTGAGTGTGTATGGTGTGTATGTGGACAAGGGTTCATTGTCAGGTCATGGGTAACTCACCAGACTTTTCACTAGAGCTCCAATGAGGGATGTGGGGACTTTCCCTGGGAGACATTGATTTTTCTCTAGAGCAAGGGTAAGTAAACATCGTCTGCAAGACTCAGTAAATATTTCAGATTTTACAGGCCAGATGGTGTCTGTTGCAACTACTCAGCTCTTCTATTGCAGCAAAAACCAGTCATAGATAATTCATGAATCAATGTGCATGATTGGGTTCCAATAAAACTTTATTTGCAAAAACAGTAGGGTGGAGAAGACTTGGCCCACAGCTTGTAGTTTCCTAGTCTCTTGCCTGTGGGCATATACATTGAGTTCCTGGAGGGCTAAGAGCCCGGCAGAGATTGGAGGGAGAGTCCCACTGTTCACTAAGTTGATCCTCAATTAATTTTCTGTTTTCACCTGGCTATTTATGATGTGAGGCGCCTGAATTCTGAACTGATGTTGACTCAGTTTCTCTGGAGTATAAACTGTTCATCTTCTATGATGAAAAACTAGGGAGAGATAGTTTCCTAGTGGGACAGTTATCTAGGGATCCAAAGATCCAGAGACAGACTTTGCCCATTCCTCTGGGTTAGCCCCAGGCTTTATTCTTGCTCTCCATGTTCTCTTGTTTTATTCTTGTTCTCCATGATGATACCTTCAAGAGCCAAGGCCAAATTTTGTTGGGCAATCTGGCTCACTTTGTTACAACACTGACACTCTTAACGCATGGGTTATAATGTTCTTTGCTCTGTCCTCAACCATCTTGTTTTCTTTTTTTTTTTAAATTAAATTTTGAAATATTTCAGGAATACAGAAAGGTTAAGAATTGTAAGGACATCATCCTGTTCTCGCCACCCTATTAAAAAAAAATACAATAGAGACAGGGGCCCATGGTTATACCTTAATTCCATAGACTCTCAAACTTGGAAAAATTTGTTGAACCTGTTAATCCATTAATTTGTGGACCATGTCACTCATATCATTTTTATTCCTTTACTTACACATTGCTTTTGAGGAGGGAGAGAAGAGAAACATATGTCCACAATACTGTCTTGAGTGAACTTGTTATAATAAATATAATCATTTCCTTTATAGCAGACACAGATTTAAAATTTTTTTTTTTTTTTTTAGTATACATAATGCTGTAGTAGAACACCGTTGTTCACATAGGTTTTTCCATCTTCTGGGTTATTTATTTAGAATTAACACCCACAAGTGGAATTATTGGGCCAAAAGGTATGAATATTTTTATGGTTATCGATCCACAATAAAACTTTTCTCCAAGCACTGCCAACTTGAGTGTCATCAATCTCTCCTGAAATGATAAATTCAGAACCACAGTTCTTACTACTGAATTGCAGAGGGTAAGGATGGTCAATTACTGCAGAAAGTGTGCAGAAATTAGCCAACAGCTATAACTCATTGCCCGTCAGAAAGTGTGGTCCACAAACCAGCAGCATAGTGATCACCTGAGAGCTTGTAAGAAATGGAGAATCTCAAGTCCTACCCCAGACCTACAGAGTCAGAAACTGCATTTAAACCAGATCCCCCAGGTGATTCATATGCACAGCAAAGGCTGAGAAGCACCACATCTTATTTGATATTCTGAGGAGTTCCGGTCACACATTTTATTCATCCAATCAAAATGGAGGAGTCTGGGATACTTTCAGTTTTAAACAGGGCTCCAGACTTTCCCATCACCTCACAGCCTCCTCACTGTTCCAGGTGTGGTCTGTTGCCCAGCAGGGGTGTAGGAGGAGCATTGGTCCAAGCTGGAAAACTTTGGTTCTCATTCTCGGGTGAACCATTTGAGTGATTTTGTCAAGTTTGCCATGTTACATAATGGCCTTGTGGAGCACTCAGGACCATTTGAGAAAAAAATGGAAAAATATTTCAAAAGAATCTTCCAAATCTTCTATACACGTAAAATATGTGATTGCAACCACCATGTGCAATGGAGGCATGCTGTCCTCATAGGAGCACAAGATAGGCAGTGTGCCCAGATGAAACTTCATCCCTAAGAGCTCTGTGGCCTCTCAAGGCTCTGGGGCAGCACTGTGGCAGGAAGGGTGCTGTGACATCTCCATAGGGAGCCATCCCTTTGCCATTTGTGATAATTCCATTCTTTTTGAAAGAAATGGGCTGTACATTAAGGTACATAATAGTTTCCTAGGGCTGCTCTAACAAATGACCACTTACTTGGTGGCTTAAAATGACAGAAATCTACTCTCTCTCACTTCTGGAGACTAGAATTTCTGAAATCAAGGTGTCAGGAGGCTTATGCTCCCTCTGGGACTTGAGGGGAAGAATCTGTCCATCCTCACCTCTTCCAGCTTCTGGTGGCTCCAGGAAGTCCTTGGCTTGTGGATGTGTAACTCCAATCTCTGCCTCTGTCTTCACATGACTTTTCCTCTGGGCCTGGTCTTCTTCCCTTCTCTCTCTTACTTGTCATTGGATTTGGGGCCCACCAGAATAATCCAGGATGATTTCATCTCAAGATCCTTAATTCACATTCACAAAGAGTCTTCCCAGATAAGGTCACATTCACAGGTCCCACGGATTAGGACTTACACATACCCTTTTGGGGGCCACTATTCCACCCATTGCAGGGAACATGAAAGAATCCAGGCATGAAGCTGGAGAGGGCACACTTGACCACCTGACTCCTTCCCTCAGATCGGCACAAAAACTAACCAGCAGATGGTAACCTCAACCCTGTTTCAGGG